CTGTGTATATTCACCATTGTATTATTAGCACTGCTGTATGAAAAAGAAATTCCGAACTGATATTATTTATCTATTGCAATGTCTTATATTCCGATTTACAGTTACTGAATTTATAATGGCTAAGACCTCCACTTGACTTGATGGATGAATGCTTTACCTTAAGATAGTGTTTGGCATTTTATATACAGAAAGCATGTGGCCCTGGCTCTGATCCTGAACAATGATCTACTTTCATTAGTAACAGATAAATTCATTCAACACAACACATTGTTCACTGCATGAACAATGAAATTCACGCAAGTCCATGTTTTACACTGAACAAATTAAATTTATCCAAATAAAGCTCACTTAAGTTTTCAATAGAAAATATTTTCTAAAATTATATCAAATTGGACCATAGAAGAAATACATATAATTTATAGCATAGACTGTCAAACTCCAAGAATAAAAATATAAATGCTTAATACTAATGCTATAAAAAGATGCTTGGTCAAATAATTCCTTATTGCTTTTGGAAAAATATATTATAAATTGTCTATTAACTATTTTAAAAAATGGAATAATAGAAAAACTACTGTTCAATTTATGATCACAAATGAGCTCAAAATTTTAATTATGTCATTGTGGTTAAGTGACAGGTCCATGTGACAACCCCTCCCAGCTCAATGAAGCAATACTGGCTCCCCCCTCCCCATCATGGTTGTTAAGCAAACATACAGGTTAAGTGGATGGGCCAAAAGAGCTGCCTTCCATGTACAGAAGGAAACTGTAGCACTGGGCTGCAGAAAAGAAGCTTAGATCTTCATGATCCCAGGTTTCTTTTCTTCACCCCAGCACTGTAGTTTCTTTCCTTCTGTGTGCTCATGGCCAGACTGATTTTGGAGTGAAATCCATCTGACAAACAGCCAGAGGTGGGCTGCACTTGGTCTTAACAACTGGTTTACTGGTTGTAAGTGCACTCACGCTCGCATCACTCACAAGTGCCTCTTCGGGGCAGAAATGAAGCTTCAAACATGCAGCTAATCAACTCAGGCAGCTCCGGTGAGTACAGCGGGCATGGCACAGAACTCAGCTGGGCAGTGTGGGTGGGGAGATTGAGCCAAAAAGTTAGGTATAAATGGAAAGGATAGCACAAAGGCAGGTGAACAGGCCTAGACAATGATCACAAATACTGGTTCACCCGAACAAGTCTGGCCAGGCAGCAGCCCTTCACTGCAGACAACCCTTCCACTCTCAAAGATGCTGGCTGAAAAAGCCAAAAGTGAGATTTTGGCAGATAGTACTTGCAGCAAGTCATTTGCAACCTGGATGGCTCCAAATGCCCCATGCCAAAATACCAGTTGGCTTTCTCCATGGATATTTTCAGCCATTATCATTAGGAGATACAAGACTACTTGGTGGAGGGACTTTGCCTGGGGTGGGGTGAAATCAATCTGGTAGACAGCACTGAAAAAAGTGATTTATGACTATTTTTCACACTTATGACCATTGCAGCATCTCTATGATCACACGATTTACATTTGGATGCTTGACATATTTATGATGGTTGAAGTTTCCCAGGGTCATGTGATCTTCTGACAAGCAAAGACAATGGGGAAGGCAGGTTCACTTAACAACCATGTTACTAATTTAAAAACTTCAGTGATTCACTTAATAAACATGGTAAGAAAAGTTGTAAAAAGGGGCAAAACTCACAACAAAATTTTCACTTAACATACATTTTGGGCTCAATTATGATCATAGGTTGAGGACTATTTGTAGTTAACTAGTATAGAACTACTGATTTTGGAATTCTAAAAATAAAACAAAATGTTATGTAATTTGATAAAACCATAGGGAGAAAAATGATCCAATTTCACCTTAAGCTTTTTTAAAAATTAAAACAAACTTTCAAATACAGCCATGACTATTATTTCAACTACTATTACCAAGTGACTACTCTTTATGGATAGTCAGTACTGTGCAAATCTAAATATGTGGATTAAGACCAACTGCTGGATAGAGAAAAAAAGATGAGAAGACTAGTAAGTAAATGAAAATTTATAATTGGTACTGGAGTAAATAATTTGTGATTACATATGATTCTGACTATGAAAAAGTCATATTTTGTTTCGTTAGACTTACTTACATTATCTATTCTAGAATATCAAGACACTATTCAGAACACTCACAGTTGAAATGAAAAGTTGGACCTCTATAAAAAAATCATCTTCTGAACATAAATCTGTGATCATAAATTGATGAGATCAAATTATAGGCTGGATGCCTATCTTGAAAAGTTCTTTGTGCTTGAAACACAAGAAATAAACAGCTTTGAATTCTTCAGCATGTATTATGAACAAAGTCAGTAATACATACAAAATCAAAATATAAACGTATTATAAAGACTCACTTCAGAGCACCAAAAATGCTTATATGCGATAAAATGTGTTTCATTGCAATTTGCTTTTCCCAGTATGAGTAGGTTCAGAAAAGTTGATTTATAAAACATAGCTTTTAAAGTACACCATAATTATATAAACTGATAATATTTGAATAAAATTTCTAGCAATCAACTTAAGTACATAAGACATTATATATTCTAGATTGTTACATATTTAATGGCTCATTGAACAACAAAATGATTATTATTTCCTTTTCAAAAAATACAAACGGCAATTTCAAGAAATAAAAAGCATGGAAAGTGCTCAAATAGGAAACTATGATATGTGCAATACACAATAACAACAAAAATACTCCTTTAAAATTGGATGTGTGTGATGAAAGTAATGAATTAGCACTTTATGCCAGGAAAATAATGTTGTTCAATTTGACCTCCCAATTCACTTTCCTTCTATTTACTTTGTCCTTTAAATTTTATCACATTGCAGAGCTAAACTGTCACTAGTACAATAATGAAAATGCAATAAAATGTCAAAATATTTATAAATATTGGCCCTTTTTACTTTTCTTCAAACTCTGTCCATGACCAGCATGGATATTGCACCACAAACTGTATTTTGTTGTTTTTAACCAATTAGTTGTGTCCAACACTTGGTGACTTTATAGGCAAGTGGCCTCCATGCGATCCTGTCAAGCACAGCTTCTTTTGACTGTTGGATATTCAGCTTTGTATCTGATTTGAAGTTATCAAGCCAGCATGTTCTTTGCTTGCCCCTTCTTCTCTGTCCACTAAGCATTTCTAGCATACTTAGCTTATCAGTTATGATTTACGGTTTTTTTATTTTCCTTTTGTTTGTTATGACCAAAAAGCCCATTTCTGTTATTGTTCACTATTGTAGCAAACATACTGATTTTTAGTTTCACTAACCCTATCCTTACAGTTTCAGCATTTTCATCAATATTTTCACTTTGTTATATGATCCTGTATGCCTTTTTTTTAAAGAACTTTTCATTTTTGTTTCTTAATTTAGAGTATTGCTCATTCTAGAGCAGCAGTGTCAAACTCATGGCGTCACGTTGTTGTCACATGATGTATCGTGATGTCTTCCCCCTTTGCCAAATGGGGGGTGATGCATGTGGCCCCTGGGCCGCATGTTTGACACCCCTGTTCTAGAGTATAACTTATTCCAACAAAATATTTTTGATATATTGACTAAGTTGGCTTTCCTAGACTAGTCAGCTGATTTAAATACCATTCATAACAGTCTCTTTGTGGTTCATCTAGTTGTGCTGAAATTAAAAGGCAAGGTATTATCAAAAATTGTATTTCAACAATTTATATCAAACATAGTTTTCAGGAATTTGGTTCCCATCTATTACACAGGTAAATAAAATTAAATCCCAGCCACAATAAAAATCACATGTTGTCCTTAGCAGCATTACAATATTAATCAAGTAAGCAGTTGGAACAAATTGTGAAAATGCTTTCTTGTAATCATCTAGTACAACTTTCATTTAAACAGCAATTAACAAGTCATTTTACTGTATCTTTAACTGAATAGCATTAGTGCCCCAATATATATCACATGCACCATTTGAATGACTACAAAATAATGACTATCTTCCCCCAAAAGGTTTGGGCAGTCAGACTGTTTTTACTAGGAAAAAGAGAGAGAATTGATAAATTACTACTTATCTACTTGTGTAGATGAGATGCAACATACTTTGATGAGGATAAATATATTTTTCTGCCTAATTTACCACTAATCATATAAAAAAATATTTTTGAAGCTAATAAGAAGTGATAGAATGTAAAAATGAATTATGCAATATGAGAATATAAAAAATAAAACAATTATTGCTTTATGTTTATGTAAATTAATACTTTTAGACATCTAGAAGGCAGAAGAAATACAAAGTTTATAACTTTGTTTCTGAAGAACTTGTTTATCTTTGACAAACTATAGAACAGTCAGAATGTTGTGCTTCCTTCAGCATAAATTTTAATGTAAGCAGTGCCAGAAATAGCAGAAACAGTCAAGCACATATGTTCAGATTCATAACCAAATATAGTTAGCCAACATGAAGGAAAATAATGAAATTGCTAGGTTACTAGTTGTTCTTACTAGTTGTTAATATTAGCCCACATATTGTTCTAGATAAAATATAATTTAAGAAATCTATTTCAAATTTGACACTAGTTATACTTATCCAGTCATAAAAGTGGGAACATTTTTATTTACTTACCAAAAGGCACACAAAGATCCCAGAGCCATATTTCTTTGATAAGAGAGTTACAAAAATCTCTAAATTAATTTGCCTCATATTTGTATAAACTAATAAAACATTATAACAGATCAGTAATTATTCAATAGCACAAACACTAATCTCCTTCAAGGTCAATTATGCAGCACAATCAACCATCTATGAATTATAATCATACTTAGGTTGCTATCGACTATCACCTCAACTGGGAGCAACATCAATGGAAATCCTCATTATACATGAACAGAATCATACTATGCTTTAGCCTTTAATAAGCATGTCCAATTTGTAAAAGATAAATTTCATCACAAGGTACTGAAGGAAATCAGAAGGTAATATCCCAAATGACTTACCCATGAAATTGAGGTAGCCCTCTCCTCCAAGAGAATGAGTAATGAGTCGTATCATTTTATGAAGCTGTATTCCTCGATCAATAACTGGTGTGAAAGGTGACAGAACACTCATATAGTTATACATCTCTGCATCCATCAGCCAAAAAGCCAAAGTCTTATCACCAACAAGAGCCTTGATAAATAAATAAATGAGACAGGAAATGAGGCATAGAAAAAAACCTTTTATGATATTAATGTTTTATAGGACATAAATTAAAGACATCCTATAGATGAATATATGGTATGCTGTGTTTATGAGTGTATGTATGTTGTTTTTTACTTTGAGTCTGACACTAGAGATATATAATTATCTTCTATTATGCCCTCACTCAAGATTTCATCCTGCCTAAAGGTATATTTTTTCATTCTATATTCATTCTATATTCTATATCCATTCCTGTTAGAATAGCTTGTGTCATTTTATTTTACAATCATCAAGGCACAATCTCACTTGGCAAAGAGCCTCATTAAGTGTTTTTGTTCTGTTCTCTACTTGCAAAATTTTTAAAAGGTGAGTTGCAACCTTTTTTGAGGCATCTCTGATTCACGTAACCTTGTTGGAAACACTCATCTGATTTCCTATTTCTGGAGAATTATTGCCTTCTGTATGTATAAGAAATATGACACTTTGATTGTTGGACTGGCTGATGAACCTTGCTTGGTTTTCTGAACATTGAATCTTGAATCTTAACTACTGTTCTGCATGTTTCTATGAAATATAGTTTCATAGAATTAGGCCTGGAAGGATCTAGGATGTCTTATAACATGAAACTAGTCAGGAAAGTTTTATCTCAAGATATTTTGGGTTTCAATTCAAATTTCCTTTGATTCTCTATTTAGCAATTAGTAAATTGCTTACCATTGTCTAACAACTCTGTGAGTGAGTGCATGTATGAATTTCTGTGTGTATAAAATCAGGAAGAAATTATAGTTAGGAAGCTAACTATAAAGACCTTCTATACCTTCTGAATTCCATGGAGGATGAAACCAGCCAGATAGTGACTGCTTCCTGGTGATCAATAATGGTCAAAAGCAAGGAAATATGCTATTGATGAAAGCTAGTATTTGGGATATTGAGTTTTTGAGGACAATGAAGACATTTTAAATTTTCAAGTTATATAATATAGAAATACTTATTTCTGCATTATATTGTATACCCATGAAATATAGGTTTAATTTATGGAAAGCAGTTTCAAGATATGACTTCTATCTTCTTCTTATTCTATCATATTCCATCAGCTCCCTAACTGTAGAAATAAATAGAAAAATCCACAAGAGAGAGAGAAAACAAGAGATAGAAAGATAGAATAATTTTTCAGACATTTGTTATATTTTAATTTCAGATTTGCTATAGGTTGGCTAGGGTGGGTTCATCTTAGTATTGTCCCATTTGAGTTAGTAGTATTCATAATTTCTTAATAGGATTTTTGGGAAGAATAATATGGTTTAAAATTGATTCTGAACCACATACAAGCCATCTGGAATATATTATTATTTGAAGAACTATATGCCTGTCAAGCATGGGGCATAACAAAACATGTAACTCTTTTACAATAGAAAAAAAACAGAATGTCACTCCAGATTTTCAGTCATCGATAGATGATATGTACTGGCTTTCTGTAATGCTGTGTTTAAAAACTGAACCTTTTTTTAATAAAAAAAATGTAATTAGTATTTTTTTCCTTTTTTCCCTTTATATTTTAAAGATTGATAGCTGCAATCTAATTGTAATTGTTGTGGACATGAACTGCTGGATTGTTACAATACCTGATCATGACTCTCTGCATAGGCAATGCACTTCTCTCCATATCGCCTGTTTGTTAAAGTAAACACAATGTCTCCCATGTCCCAGTCCTCATCCTTACGCTCCTTAATGATCTGGAAATGAAAAGGGATAATTCTGAATTATTTTCTTATCATTTTTTTCAGCTTATCCTACGGTATTAAATTGTTCATGATGTGTCTCTTTCATAAATTTTGAAATGTTAAATTACTATGTGTGGGATGTGATTCTGGTCCAGTTCCACATCATAGCATAATTAATATGGCACATGACAATTACAAAACACGTCTAATCTTGATTTATCTTGAAATAATTCAAACAAAGTCAGGCCTACTTAATATTTGAAAAGGAAATCTTCAGAAAATTGCATAGCTGTAAACTAAAGTCAGAAGTAAAAAATAAAAATCCCCCCTCAAAAAAAAAAAAAAAAGGAAAAAGGAAAAGAAAATTATGTCTTTATCATAGCCAAGAACATAGCAAGAACTTTTTCACAAAGTTACCAGTAAAGTTGTACTTGTCTTGAAAAAGTTTTCCTTTTACTATACATAACAATTGAAATAAAGAATTGTTTTTGTTCCAAAATATCTGCCAACAACTTATTAACTATGCATATCTTAAATTCATTTTCTTTCTATTTCTGTAAAACAGTAGGGGCTATATGGCATCACTTTTATGGTTGATTAAACAGAAATTTCACCACTCTATCTGCCTGTTTCTTGCTATGCAATGCTGCATAATCCTTTGATTAATGTATTAGCTCTAATTGAAATAAGGTAAATTATTTCTGTGTATTTAATTTTATGGCATAAAATATAGGAAGAATTGATCAACAGGAGTGCTAATTTACCACCAGCTTATCAAGTACTCAAGAGGCAAAGCTTGGTAGCACAAGGAAACAAGGAAAAAATTAAGCCAACAACTTAATAGCCGGCCATCAGAACCCCAAACAACAACTAAAAAGCCACACACAACCAGGTACCATATAAATACGACACACAGAATAGCCGAAAGCACACAATCTGCTAGAGAGAAGCACCCTGAGGATGGGCTCCAGCATGGTCTGAAAGCTCAGAAGACTAAACTTCTGATCCCGATGATTGACCCAGATTTGATCCTGCAACATTATCCTGGAATACATATATCACCTTCATTCAATATGTGAAAAGTATTGTGCAAACAAAGAGGAACAATAAATACCACAATGAAGTAATCTGATATTATAGGGTCAAAATGATGGCAGAGAACTTTAGACATTGCTAATTATGTATTTAACTTTACTGTGCAAAGTCATGTATGCTTTGATCACCTCCTGTGTGGATTACTGTGATGCATGCTACCTGGGCCAGCCCTAGTAGTTCTTAATGGAATGAAATTAACATGGAGGGAAGTATGCAGTGGTGTACCCCAAGATATTTTGATTAAGGGATACAAGGGGAACTCACAAATTTGCAATTGATACAAAGCTGGCAGGAGTAGCCAACACTCCAGAAAATATGCTCAGATCCAGAATGATCTTGACAGACTTGAACATTGGGCCCTGTCTAATAAAATGAAATTCAATGGTGAGAAAAGTAAGGTTCCACATTTAGGGCAATTGAGATTCTAGAAAGACTGCAAAGAAGAGCAACTAAGAAGAGCAACTTAGGGGATTGAAGGCTAAAACATATGAAGAATGGTTGCAGGAATTCGGTATGTCTAGTTTAATGAAAAGAAGGACTAGGGGTGACATGATAGCATTGTTCCATTATTTAAGAGGCTGCCTCAAAGAAGAACGGATCTTATTTTCCATAGTACCAGAAGGCAAGACAAGAAACAATGGGTGGAAACTAATAAAGCAGAGAAGCAACCTAGAACTAAGGAAACATTTCCTGATGGTTAGAAAAATTAATCAGTGGAAGGATTTGCTACCAGAAGTTGTAAGTAGAGGTTTTAAGAAGGGTTAGCACAACCATTTGCCTGAAATGGTATTGGGTTTCCTGCTTGAGCAGGGGGTTGGACTAGAAAACCTCCAAGGTCCCTTGTTGTTTTTCTTGAATAATGGAAGCCTCAATTAGTCAAGAATAAAAAGATGATGAAAGGACTTGAGTGTGGGACAGTAATTTCTTGGCTAGTTAGATAAACAAAAGCTGAATGATCTTAATATACATGAGTGGAACCATAGTGCCAGCAAATTCTATTTCTTTTCCCACTATTCTGCAAAAATCATTTGATAACAAACCCAAGTATCAGCTGACATAATGAAATTATACTACATTATGAAAATTTTGTACTGTGGTTTATGGTTTATAGATTTACAATTGCACAAGAATGACAGTGTCTTTTTACAATTAATAGATGATCTGTACTAGCAATATGCCTTTGACACCATCTGATAAGATTGTTAGATTATGAAAAAAGGAATTAGCTAATGATAGGGAAAATATACCCTGAAGCAACATTAATAAATATTCTGTCTACAGGAAAATAGATCAAATTTGTTTCAAAAGTATATGTTTAAAGATCTAAAACACAAATTATGCTTTATTATACTATACTCCTACGTGTAGGTCTGACTCAAGATACATACTATTATGTTAAGCTTATAAACATAGATCCGTACAAAGGTGCAATATCTTAATTTATGGTAATGCTAATGCTTCTGAAATAATTTTTCCAAAATTCAATTATGTCTATATATGAAAATATTAATAACCTTCCAGAAAGCTTCAATTTGTTTAGCATTCATCTTTTTTGTTTTTGTTCTTAAAGAAATTTAAAATATTTGGTCTTAGTTTTTATCACTAGAGTGCAACATTGGCAAGCTTTTTGTACAAATATGTTTAGCAATAGTTAAGGTGCTAGACTCATAAATATGCAATTAATGTATTAGAAAATCATTGTACAATTTCATGTGCATAACAGATACATTTTAATCTCCATTTTGTTAGGAGTTAAGCTTGCTGTAAGGATTATCAAAATTCTGTCCACAAAACCACAAAAATAAAAGCCAAACAATCAAATATAATTGTAGAATAATTAGTCATATGTTACATTGAACTTTAGAAGCACAAAGCTTAGTATCCTATACAAGCATAACTTTCTGAAGCTTCCAGATAGTTTTGAGACCACTGGCTGAGAATGATGGGAGCAGTAATTCCAATACATGTGGCAATTTTAATTAGATGCTAAAAACACAAACTGGGAAATTTGGCTAAATAAATACGGAAGGAATTCTCACTTCTTTGATAAAAAAAAAAAATAGAACGGAGAATAGGAGTCTGAGTGATTCCTATAATATTTTTCTTGTCTAAATTATGGAAATCCAGTTCATAGATGCATAATTACTTCATATTATTTAATTATACGTATGGGATGTGGTCGCTTAGCAGTTAAGATGCAAGGCTTGAAATTCAAGCATCACATTACTCAGTCCAGCTCCTGTCACAACCTACAAGTTTGAAAGCATGTAAATATAGTAGATAAATAGGTACTACTTTGGTGGGAAGGTAACAGCATTCCATGTACCTCAACATATAATCCAGGTGGCCACATGACCATGAAAGTATCTTTAGACAATGCTGGCTCCCTCAAATAGGAAACAGAGATGAGCAGTGCCTCCTACAGTCGGATAAGAATGAGCAGGGGAAACCTTTACATTTACCTTTACCAATGGAAGCATGAGCGAAAAATGTGGCAAAACATGGAAGAAATCTATTTTCACCTGAATCCATTTGTCAGGAATTGCCATGGCCATCCGGTAATCAAATCCACATCCTCCTTCAATTACTGGACAACAAAGTGCTGGCATTCCAGACACATCCTGGAAGAATTATACAAAGTTACTTGACAAGTAATGTAATATCATAAAATAAGAATATCTAAAATTGAAAATAAGGAGAGAGATCCACCAGAAGAATTACTATTCAGTCATAAATAATGAAAACATTTTCAATCTCATTCAATATTAAAGAATCACAATAATGTGCAATTCCTATGGCATAAATATTATGAAAGCAAGTTGTTTCGTTCATATTTTTTTTCTCATGCTGCAAAATACTGTGAATATTAGTCAGTACATGATATGTACTTGAAATACATACTAATGAAAATACTAATGAAGGACAACAATTTGATGACTATTCAAACTGTCTTTTCACTTGCTAATAATTAATTGCATAGTAAT